TTACCCGTCTAAAAGTGATATTCTTAGGGTCATTATGCATCAATCGAACACTGGACAATCTAATAGTTACATGAAATTGCAGACTTTTAAAACGAGTTACCGAGAGTTGTCGCGAAACAATTTCGTCATTCTAGGGACAAAACGGCGCGCGCGAGAGAACTTTCCTTTTTAGGGTTCGTTTCAACCAGTGACGAAACGTGATAAGTATGCGGGGCGAGGTGTGACCAAGCGTGATAGCGCTGTGATCACGAGCGAAAGCAATGTGCTGTACTGTGACTGTTCGTGATACCCCCGTGACCAAACGTGATAAAACAGGCCTATTTGCGACTGCGCGTATAATTTCCCAATGATTATTGGGGTCCTCCTTAGTTGGCCGTCTGTTCCGAAATCGAACGAGTCCTAGGTTTCCTTTCCAATTCCCGTCTCTCATGCATTCTAGAATTAGCCCTAGACAAGTACCCAAATCAGCAATATACAGAAGATCCGAGCCGCGGCTTGCGCGATGGAGCGTGCAGTTCTGCACCTCGGTGCGCTGCTCCTGGTGACGTGTCTCGGGGTCGCGCGAGTCGACTGCGTTCCCTTGGCCGACTCGCAGGGTGTGTACCTCGATAAGTGACGCTCCATGGCGTGCCTTCTTTTGTCCGCCCCGAATCGCTTCCGCGAAAAGTTCGGACGCTGGTTGTGCGCGGTAGAGTTGCGAGGGTGTGACGCAATTTCTGACCAGGAATAGTTGGTACTACTCCCGGAGTTCAACCTTAGCCGTTAGTTTCGTCGCGACGGGGTGTAGCCGCGTGGAGTGGGGATGGGGGCCGGGACGCGGGACGGGCAGTGGGATGAGGACGGAGTGTGGAGTGAGTTTTGAGAGAATGTGAGCTGGAAAGCAAAGGTGAGCGGAGTGGAGAAGGGAGGCGCGGTAGAGGAGAGGTGTGAGAGGAGGCAACGTAGAAGCAGAGTGAAAATTTCGGAAACAGGACCTTTCCTCGAAGTCCTTGCTGCTACTTCCTCTGTCCTTGCTGCTACTCCCTCTGTCCTTGCTGCTACTCCCTCTGTCCTTGCTGCTGCTCCCTCTGTCCTTGCTGCTGCTCCCTCTGTCCTTGCTGCTACTCCCTCTGTCCTTGCTGCTACTCCCTCTGTCCTTGCTGCTACTCCCTCTGTCCTTGCTGCTACTCCCTCTGTCCTTGCTGCTACTCCCTCTGTCCTTGCTGCTACTCCCTCTGTCCTTGCTGCTACTTCCTCTGTCCTTGCTGCTACTCCCTCTGTCCTTGCTGCTACTCCCTCTGTCCTTGCTGCTACTCCCTCTGTCCTTGCTGCTACTCCCTCTGTCCTTGCTGCTACTCCCTCTGTCCTTGCTGCTACTCCCTCTGTCCTTGCTGCTACTCCCTCTGTCCTTGCTGCTACTCCCTCTGTCCTTGCTGCTACTCCCTCTGTCCTTGCTGCTACTCCCTCTGTCCTTGCTGCTACTCCCTCTGTCCTTGCTGCTACTCCCTCTGTCCTTGCTGCTACTACCTCTGTCCTTGCTGCTACTCCCTCTGTCCTTGCTGCTACTCCCTCTGTCCTTGCTGCTACTCCCTCTGTCCTTGCTGCTACTCCCTCTGTCCTTGCTGCTACTCCCTCTGTCCTTGCTGCTACTCCCTCTGTCCTTGCTGCTACTCCCTCTGTCCTTGCTGCTACTCCCTCTGTCCTTGCTGCTACTCCCTCTGTCCTTGCTGCTACTCCCTCTGTCCTTGCTGCTACTCCCTCTGTCCTTGCTGCTACTCCCTCTGTCCTTGCTGCTACTCCCTCTGTCCTTGCTGCTACTCCCTCTGTCCTTGCTGCTACTCCCTCTGTCCTTGCTGCTACTTCCTCTGTCCTCGGAAACAGAGGGAGTCCCTCTCCAGCGAATACGTCAGTTATGACGTCAGCAACCAGCAGCGTCACGTAGAGGTTGTGGTGAGCCACCTTGAAGGGTCCAACCCCCCACCTCCCACTCCCCACCTCCCACTCCCCACCCCCTCATCCTCCCATCCACGTCCCACCCTTCTCTCCGTGCTTTCACTCCCTGAACTCCACTCCTCTCTTCACGTTTCCCCCTTTCTCTCCTTCCGCCAGCGCAAGTCCTGCTGGACTGTCAGAAGGCGTGGAACAGAACACTTGACGGCTGGGTGGTTGGTGGGGAATGCAGCAAGGCAAGGAGCGTCACGTGCGATGCCAAGGGAATGATAACAGCCATGTGAGTGGTGACAGCCATGTGAGTGGTGACAGCCATGTGAGTGGTGTGACAGCCATGTGAGTGGTGCCAGACCTCGTTCCACCCCCAACCTCCCCTACCCCCCTCACCCCCTCTCCCCCCCTTCCCCCTAGACATGAGAAAAAATTCGAACACCTGTTCGGTTCGACTTGAAAGTGTTCGACTCGAACGTGTTCGACTGATTTTTTTGCCCAAAATTGTTCGTCACAAACACGTTCGACTGTTCGAGTGTTCGTGTGCAGAAAAATGCACGAACACCTAGTTGTTCGCGAACACAATGTGTTCGTCGCAAACACACCTAGGTGTTGGAGGGAGAATTCAGCGCGTCAAAGTTTGACGCGATGGTTGGATCTAAAGGGAGAGGGCGACAATTGAGCTGAAGAATGAGCTCAATCGTCGATATAAAGGATGGCATTTGGCCCCCTACCCACTTAAACTACCACATTCCCACGGTTCAAATTTCACAGTGTGGCTGGAAACGTTAGGTATAAGGTTGGATTAGGGTAGGAGACGGTTAACAAAAGGAACTAAGGGCATTCGTTTTAGGTTGGAGTTTAGCAAGGCAAAATTGGATATCCACCAGATCTGTGCCAAGCCTAACTATATCTCTTGTAGGGCTATAGGGAAGGTGATATTGCTTCTAGTACACCTGCCCTGCATGAATGTGACCATACTGAAAGAACCCCCCAAGGCAAACTGTTCGAGTTCGGGTCAAACACCTTAGTGTTCGGCCTTGCCTCAAAACTGTTCGACCCTATACTCGAACGGGGAACACTAACATTCAAGAAAACTGTTCGAGTCAAACGTGTTCGGTTCGGTTCGAATTGACAAAGTGTTTCCCACCTTACATCCCAAGTGCCTTTCCCACCTTACATCCCTCCTTCCGTTTTCTCTTTCATCCCACCCACCATTCTCTTCTGGATATTTCTACGTTCTCTCCAGCTTCTACTCTTTTCCCTTCATGGTAGACTACAGCATCTCACTACCTGCCTCTCCAGCAGCTGCTTCCATGTACCAACGTCACTCGCCGTTTTATTAACCCTCACCATCTTTAACAAACCCTGTCTTCACCAGCTCCCGTCATCTTCACTCCCTCCCTCTCTCGCACCCTCCCCTCATCCCACTCGCTCTTCCGTAATGCCCACATAGAAAACCATTCTAGAATCTATTTTTCAAGAGAAGTGTATTTCGACCAATGTTCCCCCCTGTAGGGATCTAGAAGGACTCAAACTACTGGGATCATTTCCTTCAGCCATTGGCAACTTGACCAGCTTGACGCATTTGTGAGCACCTGTCACGCATTTCCTTTCAAACAGGTAACCACGGCTCCTTTCTAATTAGTTGCACTCAACGCCGAATTGGGAAAGAAAGCCGCAGATGTTTAGCGTTTTCTTTGCGCATAGAAACGCTATGACCTTGGCCAAACACCAGTGTCATTTTTTAAAATCAAGGGCCATGCTCTCAGTGCCTTACCCGTTGCCCCTGATTATGCGCAACCCGAGGCTCCCGGGTTTCAGTTCGTCTCGGGATATTCGGATCGGTTCAATCAGGGGGTTTCACTGCGTGGCAGTTTGCCTCGAACCAAACCTCAGTTCGTTTTGTTTGCTCATGCGGCATTTGTTCCTTGCATGGCAACAAATTGTTGTTTAGATCAAGTTGTTTTAGAGTTTGGATGGGATCGCATGTAGTCGTAGAAATTCGTTGAGGGTCATATACGGGCTGTTCTTTATGAAGTGTTGTCTTAGTAAGAATGTGCGATGCTGCTTCAAAGGTTTTCGAATATGGCATCTGCTGCTCTTTAGTCACGAATGAGTCGTTTTCTAGACAAATTCACGTACTATCATGTGTGCTGTGACATCACTCTCTCACAATTCTTCGCATGAGCCGTTCTATGTTGCGGAAGACGCAAGACGCAGATTTAGACGCAAGACGCTTGGCTAAAAAATTTTCGGGCAGCCCGAAAAAAAAATCCCGCGCGCGAAATTGAATTTCGCCATTTCGACGCGAAATTCAATTTCGCGTTTTTCAAACCCCTCCCCACCCATTTCGGCCCCACAACCAGGCCCCCCAACAAATTTGAAGCCCCCCCCACCAAAATTGAACACATACCACTCTTTACCACTCACTATCTAGAAAACCCAACCTTTTCGGTAAACCACCAAGAGGTTGGGGAGCACAAATCCCTCATTTGTGCTCCCCAACCTTCATTTCTCTCAATTCTCTTTCGAAAACCCTTAGGGTTTAGCTCTTTCCACCGCGCAAGCAACCATGGCTTCTTCTAGTGGCAGTAGCTCTTCGTCTAGGTTCCTCCTCGACGAGCGAGAATGCCGTCGGCCAGGGTTCTTCCGCTCGTGTTTCCACGGAAATGGAGGGGGTTGAGAAGAAATCTAAGTTTCCCGAGCTTTGATCTACAAGCACTACTATTTTTTCTCGGACCCGAAGAAGAAGGGCGAGCAAGTCGGGTGCCTTTTTTGCCACAAGAAGTTCTCGTTTAGTAGTAGCCGCACTCCCGAGCATCTCGCCGAGTGGTACGACCCACACCGGCGCCGCGAGGCGGGAGTCGTTTGCAACAAGGTGCCGAAGGAGATTTCATCGGAGATTCGCGAGATGTTCGAAGCCAAGATTCAGGCGCGCAACCAAAAGGCGCGGGCGACGAGTGCGGCGCCCGCTTGGGAAGAAATCACTGCAGGTGTTGCGTCCGGCAGGCACGCGCTTTGGAACGCAGTTCATCGCAGTGTCCCGTCTCCGCGCCGTTCGCCAGCAGCTCACGGCGATGGTGACGCACAAGGATTGGCCGGAGAAGGGGGGGAGCAAGCTGGCGGGAGCGGATTTTGAGGGGTGGGTGATGGACCAGGGGTGGTGGAAGAAGGTGGACGTCTTTCTGTCGGTGATGGAGCTGTTCTACAACGTGATGCGGAGGACGGATGCAGCGGCGAAGGGGATGATGGGCCAGCTGTACGACAACATGCTGCAGCTGACGAAGGAGTTGGATAAGCTGCTGAACGGGAAGGAGTGCAAGCTGAGCAGGGCGGATAAGGATAAGGTGCGGGAGCATTTGAGGAAGCGGTGGGACGAGAGCCTGGCTTGCCCCCTCCACGTGGCAGGCCGGATCTTGAACTCGGCAAACCAGGAGGAGGGGATTTTCCTGCAGGATGCGGAGTGCACCAAGGTGATGCAGGAGTGGTTGGAGCGACAGAAGGCGTTCGTCGACAGGTACTGGAAGAAGTCCGGCGGCAAGAAGGGACCGGTGAGGCCGCTGCATGAGGGTCTAGTGCGCGACCTTGCGCATGTTGCGCACAACTGGAATGTTGTGCACAAATTCCACAAGGATGCGGAAGCGGGGCCTAGTGTGGTGGGAAGGAAGGGTGCAGTGGTGGAGGGGAACATCCCCCCCCCTCCCCTCCCTGAGGGGTACAAGTTGGAGGAGGATGGGGAGGTGGAGGCGGACGAGGACGACGTGTGCCTCGATGAGTGGCAGACGCAGGAGGAGCTGGAGAAGGACGGGGAGGAGGAGGAGGAGGAGGAGGATGAGGAGGAGGAGGAGGACAGCTAGGAGGCGTAGTGTTTGCTGCTGAGATATGTAGTAGTAGTAATGCATTTCCAGCTTGATACTACTAGAGAGACACGGATGGAAGTTAAACTACATGATGATGATATGTGATCACTTTTTTTAGGTCTAAGAATGGGGGAAAAAATGTGGTGTGGGGCAAAATACACCCCATTGTGACATAGGTGCATGTTCCCCACCCTTACCATGCCCTTAGAACTTTTTTTGGTCTACCCGAACTTTTTTTTTAGGCCTGCCCGGGTTTTCGTCTAGCACTGCGTCTAATCCGGCCTATCTAGCGTCTAGCGTCTTAGACGCTGCGTCTAGACGGACGCGTCTAAGACGCTAGACGCGTCTTCCGCAACAGAGGAGCCGTTGTCAAGCATCACATACCCAAAACTGTGCTGTCCACTAGATATCCGTTCACGACATGTACCAAAGCATACTGGCGTCCAAAATGCAAATCTATGGTGACTTATTTCTACTTTCCATGCAATGTCTGTCCTGGAAAAAAGCGACGTGGCTATAAAATCCGTAGTGTCCAGTGGCACATGGAAAAAAATTTATATTCTGAGAAGAAATAATGTGTCGATATGATATGTTTTTACTTTGCGTTACAGTGCGAAAGGCCAGAATGGACTAGTCATGGCGCATCGAATGTTGTTGAGCAGCTGTGTCTGTCCATTGCCGTTCTGTCCTATAGTGAATCAATGTGTTATGGTCCCCGCCGCCACATGCATACACCGTACCCTCCAATTAATTTTATCTTTTGTCAGGGGCTTGCGCGACAACCTACTGTGGAGTACTCTCCCCGACTCCTTGAGCCGGCTAACAAATCTTAGTATCTTGTGAGTGGATTGATCCATCGAGAGTCGAATCCGCCCACACCCAGCGAGCCGGATGAGTAGAATTGTTGTGCATCGGAGATTTCGAGCTGCACAGAATCGTTCCAAAGCCTTACTTACATTCCATACAGAATGTTTACGGTGACTTGAGTTTTTCAAAACAAGGTCGGTATTGGCGCTGCTCCTTGTGCTGCACATGTAGGCATGGTCAAGCTCCCCCACCAGCCCGGTCCTTGGCCCATCGCTAAATGACTGGTCAGGCAGGCCCATCATGTGCAGGGTTCGGCTGGAGACGGGCCGGACCAGGTCCCGTCTCGTGTAGGTAAGCAACATGTAGAGAGTACGAGGAGGTGTGTGGGAGAATGAAGAAAGTGTACAAATGCAGAACGAGCTAGAGGAGGAAATCGAAGGTTGAGAGTGTTCATCAGAGCAAATCTTGATTAGTTTCAATTAACGTAAAATCTCTTTGGCACTTTTCGTGAAACGAATCGGGTGAAACGAGCGAGATGGGGGTCTTGGTGGTGAAGATCACAGTAGGATTGACCTGTGGGGAAGGTTGTTGGAGGGAAGAGAGGGAAAGACAATTATGGCGTCAGGAAGGGACATGCCAGAGACAGCGCCAGAGGGGGAGGCAGGAGGGAAGAGAGGAGGTGCTAGTGCAGGTCATGCTCATGGTCTCCCCAGCTCCATGAATGGAGAGGAGGGGGGGGGGGCGGGGGCGGGGGGGGAGGTGGGGAGGAGCGAGGGACACCGGCACTACGGAAGATAGAGTCAATGGCAGCATTGTCAAGGACAAAGTCCAAGGTGCGAGGAAGGGAAAGAGCAGCAGCAGTAGGACTAGGATACGGAGAAACATTGCAACGAACGGGGGGAAACAACATGGCAAAACGAGGATCCGTGAGAGGAAGAGCTCCTAGAATGCAAGGTCACACTGAGAGAGGAGAGGGCAAGGTCACACTGAGAGCGGCTTAGTGGGAATATACGCGTATAGCGTATATACGGCGTATATACGCTAACGTATATACGCTAAACGCTGAAGGGTCGGCTTTGGGAATCCGCTTTTTTGGGCAGGGAAAAAAAATCCTGGGCAGGGTGAAAAACAATGTCGTGCTCAAGATCGGGAAGGTATTCCATATTCTCACTAAGAATATTGTAGCATTCTCCTGAAGTCTGAACTTCGATTAGGGTGGGATGTGTAGTAGACACTATCGCTAGAAGGAGAAGTAGGAATCGGGAAGAGCTCTGTTGGGAAGCGGGAAACGTCGAGTGCAGTTGGGCTGGCTTGTTTGTAGCGTGAGTGGGGTTTGTTGGGGGGGACGTTTTTGACAGGTTGGAGTTCGTAGATGGGATGGATTTCAATGCGGTACTAATCAAAATTGTAGATCTGAACTGCCAAACGCGATTGTAAGGCACATTCCCGCTTCTCTACAAACCCGAATTGCACCTCGACTCCGGCGAGTGCTCACCAGGAGATTACGCATCTTTCCGTATACACACGATTTTTTTTCTTGGGCAGCCCCTAAAAAAATCTGAAAGCGTATAGCGTATTAGCTAGCGTATAGCGTTTTGCGTATGAACGCAAGCGTATATACGCTATACGCTTTAGGTTCTGAGCGTATATTCCCACTAAGGAGAGCGGAGGCCAGAGTATCAGGACCGGAGGTTGCGGCGGCAAGAGTGTCCGGGGCAGAGGACGTTTGACGCTGATGCGACAGCGAAACCCATTCAGGAGGGGGGGGCAGGGAGGAGTGTACAGCAGCAGGAAGGAAAGGTGTTGCAAGAGCGGGAGGAGGCAGCGTATGCAGGGGAGTAGACATGAGCACAAGTGTGGACACCTGTTTGGTTCGTTCGCCGAACACGATCACGTTCGTGCGTGTTCAACATCCCTTTTCGACGAACACAAATGTGTTTGTAAAAAAAGGTCGACGGTACCCTAGTCGAGCTCATTTGTTATGTCGACTTTTGTCTAACTACCCTCCCACAACCTAGACTTCAAGCTCCAGCAGCTAGGGTACCTAGACTCTAATGAAATAGTTTGGCGAAACTAGACTCTACCCTTTGATGTTTCATTTCCTTCACTCCCAAACGTCCACCAGGTGTAGCCACATTATTATGGACGCCAGGATCCAACATCCAGGATTCATGTGTTTATAGTGAAGGCTGCTGATATGGCAAACACGAACATGGTCGTGTTCGGGCGAGCACAAGGTAATACTGTTAATTGTTATTCTTTGATCCCCTTCTGTTCTCTATTGTAAAATTTATTCCCATCCCATCAGGGATCTCTATCTATGTGGCGTGAGCGGAAACATTCCAACTTTTATTGGGGACATAAGCATGCTGACTTACTTGTGAGTATTGTGACATTGCATTTCCTGATGGCTGGACAGAAATGGTCTCCCCAGCTGAGGAACAGGTCAAGGCGTCACGCACCTAGTGGATATAGGAAGAGGAGAAAATAACTAGTACACTCAAAAGCAGTATGGATTTCCCTCGCAAGCAATGCGTATGCATCTCTCGCCAATTTTTGTTACGTGTGGACATTTCCTAAACTGTTCTTGCTTCATGTGTACCCTCCTCCACTGCCCCTTAATAAGGGATCTTGGCTACTGCAGTTTGACAGGCACGATCCCTGACTCTACTAGTGCGCTGACAAATCTTCGCTTCCTGTGAGTGCATGGTATTTTTTGTATGCCACAGCCACAGCCAGTCACTGCATGGCATATGTTCCATTGTAGCATGGATGGGCTCATTTTCCAAATAGAGGTGTTCATGCTTTCAGGTAACTAGGTTACGTGTTCTTTAAACACATAACCTAAGCCCTCAGATTGGATGTGCAAGAAAGAATCTAGTTGCTGATATGATAGACATGATCAACGAGTCCAGCCATTGTTCTTTGGCTTGGCTTGCTAATGGAATTCTAAATTAGACATGAGCGTAACGGACCCGAATCGCACACAACCCGAACGTGGAGACAACTAGGCTAGGCGGCAGATTAGGGTACCAGCAGACATGTGAGCTGGAAAAGTTGGGCTAGGAAAAGGTACATCGGTAAGGAGAAGTTAGGGCTTGCTGCCTGGTTGGGAGGAGCTGGGCAATATGAAAACCATAGTTGGTTTTGTTCGTGCAAAGAAATTGCGACAAATTCGCAAAATGTGGCAACAGTTTTCTCCCTGCCAGCCCAAATTATGGAGGCAAGTGTAATGCATGATTCTGTGCCGAGCATAACGCATATCATGTAATTCTGCTAGCACAATTACACAAACCGCTCAGCTGCCTGAGCTCTTCAAGGCGTCTCCTCCCGACCCGACCCATCACGACTCAGGCTGACCCGGCTTGGGCACGGACCAGGTCGGGTCAACCCGAGCTTGGGTCAGGAACCCAGGGGGCCGACCCAACCTGGGCTTATAGTGGTCAGGTTGGCTGTGACCTGAGGGTGGGTCACCTGCTCACCCTGTGATGACTTTCGTCGACCTACCAATCAATTTTACTGACTACCTGCGCAGACCGGCGATTTTATCCGCCAATCCGTGTGGATCCGCATCCGAAACTAAGTTATTACAAGCACATTCAGAGTTTGTAACGCTACCATTCAAACGCTAGACTAGCGTTGAGCATCAGGTTGACCTGACCTGACTGTGGTCAACCAGAGGAGGGTACAGGTCGGGTCGAGTCGACCTGACCCCGGGGAAGCCGACCCAACCCGAGGTTAAGGGGTTGCATCAGCTGTGACTTGAGGCCGGGTTCATTCGACCCGATGGCGCATCAGGTCGTCTGACCTGCCAACTTGACTTCGTGGCTGCCGGATCGGCAATTTCCCCCGCCAATCCGAGCGGGTCGGCGGCTTTGCCCGCCTATCCGCGTCGATCAGCGATTTCCCTTGCCAATGCGCACGGATAAGCGATTTCGCCGCTCACTTTTCGGCCACTACACTAGGCTTGAGCATGAAATGTGGTGAAGTGCTCCGTGATGCTCCAATTGTTCGCCATGTGTTCGACCCAAACACATTCGTGTTTGGATTGTGCTCATGCCTACTCGTTCGTGTTTCGATCCACACTGATTACCCGACCCTCGACGGGTTGCTATTGCCTGACAGTGAACCCTATTTTTGGGAAACAGGACCACCCGACCCGCCCGGGACAGGCCAACCCAAAACACCCA